TTTCTTAGGGTCAAGCTCTGGACATATGATCTACACAATTAACAAATATAACCTACTAGATTTTCTAAAATATTTAGTGACGTAGGCCAGTGTTTCTTTTTTTATAACGTAGGCACGGCTCCGGCTCTGGTCCCGACCACAGAAAAGCAGCACAAATCTTCTATAACTCACGACCACAGAGCATCATTTTAACGGCTTTAAAAAGTTTCCAACAATGTCATTATGTATTTATGTCCTTTGAAATTAGTTTACGTAGGTTTTTAATTCGTTGGTTAGTATACATGAATTTAAAAGAAAACATCGTGCAAGTATTTTCACGTTTGGTTTCATACCCAATTTAACCTTTTTACCATCATTGTAAGCATATTTGTTAATTAGTTTCGACATAACGTTGACATTGAGCTAGTTAGTTGTTTGATCCACAAAATCATAAAAGGGTAAATTGCATGTTATGGCAGTTGACCAAGTTTTAATTTCATGTTTTGGCAAAGTGAGAATGGGCTTTCAAGTTTTGATAATTTAACCAAAATCTGACCATTTTACCCCTGCCAGCGTACCGATGTACTGTTCACTGTACGGTTCAGTTATGCGGTTCAGTTATGTACACTGTTCCGGTTTAGTTATGCAGTTCAGTTATGCGATGTACTGTTCACTGTACGGTTCAGTTACGTACACTGTACACGGTTCAGTTATGCGGTTCAGTTATGCGATTGACTGTTCACAATTTTCTTATAATCTTTTGTTTTTTTACATTTAATTTATTTATTGATTTTGTAAATCTAGTTTATATTAGCGTATTTTGAAGTCGAAAAACTAAAATACAAACTCTATAAATATTACGTACACCGTCTCCACAATAGTACATGATATAACTGAAAAGTACATATCCATTTTATAATCAATACTGTGTATACCGTAAACTACATACACGTAAATAGAAAAAACTCAAATAAGGACATATTTCTACCAAAAATATCTTACCAATTTCATACAAGTTTTCTACGAACTCAATTAAAAAAATATTAATAATTTGTTTTCAGTAAATAATTGAAATCAACTATGATCAACACACAAATTGACTCTAATGAGACTCACAAAACTCCAGCTCTGTTACGCAATTTACATAATCATATGTCAAATACGAGAAGCAGTAGAAACAAACCTCACAACTAAAGAAAAACATTGAGGAATAGTATGTTTTAACGTGACACAGAGCCGTGTGTGGTTTGAAAATCTTAAACACTTGTCAGTAGATGATTCGCTTTTCCATTTTATAAATATTTATTGTTTTTATATTTTTAGTTAAAATTCTTTTTTTTTTCTATCAGACCCATTTTCATATTTTTATTTCTATTTTAAATAATATTTTATTTATTATTATCGAAGACTATTCACGATTAGCAATATCATATACATATGTGCGTAACGGTAATAATATATACGTACACGGTAATAATGTGTACGTACACGGTAGTAATGTGTGTGTATATATGTACGTAAATATCTAAATAATTTGTATATTTACGTTTCAAATATTTTTTGACTATAAAAACAAAACATTCAAATCATGTATGAACAACATATGAAAAAAATACAGTCATACAAATAACTGACATAATAACTTAATTTTGATGTCAAAAAATTAAATTAATATTGTACCATGTACGCTCCAATAAATATTTTTGTGTACGTACATAGTATAAGACTTATGTGATTTAGGCATTTTTAGGATGTAACTGTTTGGAGAGGTCGTATGATGCGGACATCAAACATGTTGATGGACTAGCTGAGCTATTTGCTGAAGGAGTTGTAAGAGATAAACATAATCCATCAAACAAACAAATTATTCTGAATGAATGTGATGCTGGAGAAGTTTTGATCTTCTTGATTTACAAAGTTTGGAGCCAAGACAAGCATTGATCTTGTAAGTAATGAAATTGGTTAAGAAGTTTTTTGTTATAACACACTGGGGTCTTGATTGTGTTCGAAATCAACATTGTTTTTATATAAAAACCCAGAATATTTTTATTTCCAATTTTTTTAGTTGAAAATGCTGAATGAGGATAGATTTATGTATATAAGTGTGTAGTTGGGAATTCTTTTTGTTTTTTGTAGATATAATCATGCTTTCATTTGCATTTAATGGGGTTCTGCTGAATTTATGATGCAAGTAGGTAATGGATATTCCCGTATTTACTATGGTGGGTGAGTGGAGATGCAAAGAAGAAAAATGAAAATTTGAACCATGGGAAGGCTGGTTTGGTCGTTGTGTACGTGTTAAGGAAAACATGACGTACACGGAATTTGTACGTACATTATGCGAGGTTTTCAGTTTGAAGTCCACCGATGTACACGGAATTTGGAATGCGAAGCACACAATGAACAGGCGTTGGAATTCCAAACCTTCTTTCGGAGTCTAGGTCAGCGCAATGTTGTTGTCGCACTCGTCTTCTGGCGTTTAACCGATAGAGCTAATCCGAAGGTTGTGAGTCATGGTCCTGTGTCAAAGGTCTTTGCCGATCCGGAGACACCGGAAGTGGAAGAGATCAAGAAGGTCGTTTTTTAATTAGGGGGATTTGTTTTTCCCCCGTCTTCTTATTATTTAAGACCAGATTTATATTAAGTATTGTTTATTAAAGGGTAAACGACCTGTATCCCCCTAGGAAGTTTCATATAGTATCACAACTACAGAGAATTCGGACCTCGACTGCAGTCCACACAGATCAGAAGTTAAACTCTAGTTTCCCCACAAATCAAAAGTTCGAGACCTTGGTCCCCAAAATTTTGAATTTCGTGGTTTATCTGTGGTTTATAGTACCGAACCGATGCCATATTCGTGGTTTACTGAACCGATGCCAAACCAAAACCCAGTAGAATAAACCGAATTGAAATCCTTAAACTTAATTAAACATAATCGAGCAATGAATTTTGTAATATAATTTCAAAATTTCATTAATTTTCCGAACGGAGACGACGGTTATGTTCAGTAAACCACAGATATGGCATCGGTTCGGTACAGTAAACCACAGATAAACCACGAAATTCAAAATTTTGGGGACCAAGGTCTCGAACTTTTGATTTGGGGGAAAACTGGAGTTTAACTTCTGATCTGTGTGGACTGCGGTCGAGGTCCGAATTATGTGTAGTTGTGATACTATATGAAACTTCCTAGGGAGACACAGGTCGTTTACCCTTTATTAAACTACATAAAGTTGTTGTCGTTTTCAAATTTCTTGACTTTGAATAATATACTATTGGGTAACTGTACGTACATTTTATACGGAAACCGTGTACAATTACAATTAATTTGCCAGTTTACGTTTTACTTGCTTTTTGGTTATTCAAACACCAAAGTGTACGAAACCCGTGTACGTAGACCAAAACATACATATATCATAATTGTTGTCCTCAAAAAATAAAAACTTCATTCATTCATAATTAAGTGCCCGAAGAAGGACATACAATGCAGAAAGACAAACAACTTATATTAGATGCGGAAGCAGTAAACTTAAAAGTAGAGCCTGAAGCATACACATGAGCCAGAAAATTGTATGCCTCATCCGTCATATCAAAGTCATATCTAATAGAAGATACACATCTCCCTCGCGTACCAGTAAAAGAAACATCCTCTGCAGCCGGATGGTGCGACGGAGTTGAGTAGTGTTAGGCCATGGGCGACGGTTAGGAAGTTGCTGGGCTGCCGGAGACCTTCAAGGTATATCGCCTTTTTTGGGTTTATTGCTATGTGTCTTCACGGACGAATGGAGAGTCCAACGTTTTGGCTTGGTATCGTCGGATTCGTGATCATAGCTTATTTTTTGGTGAAGAACGTGAAAGGAGCGATGATCTACGGGATCGTCTTCGTAACGGCCGTTTCGTGGTTCCGTAACACAGAGGTAATGGCGTTTCCGAACACATCGGCCGGTGACGCAGCTCATGATTATTTTAAAAAGATTGTTGATGTACACGTCATCAAACACACCGTCGGAGCTTTAAGCTTCTCCGGGATAAACAAAGGATATTTCTGGGAAGCTCTGGTGACATTCCTCTACGTTGGTATTTGGATACGACAGGAACGCTTTACTCAATGGCTAGATTCGCCGGATTCGTCGACGAGAAAGGAGATTTCGCCGGACAGTATTTCGCGTTTATGTCTGACGCGTCTACGATTGTGATCGGATCGTTTCTTGGTACATCTCCGGTGACGGTTTTCATCGAATCGTCAACGGGGATACGTGAAGGAGGAAGGACGGGGCTCACGGCGATTACGGTGGCGGTTTATTTCTTCTTAGCGATGTTTTTCACGCCATTGCTAGCTTCGATTCCAGCTTGGGCGGTTGGTCCGCTGTTGATATTAGTCGGAGTGATGATGATGAAATCGGTAACGGAGATCAATTGGGAAGATATGAGGGAAGTGATTCCGGCATTCGTGACAATGATTCTAATGCCGTTGACTTACTCCGTCGCGTATGGATTGATCGGAGGGATTGGGAGCTACGTGGTGTTGCATCTATGGGATTGGGGAGAAGAAGGATTGGTGAAATTAGGGTTTTTGAAAAGGAAAGTTGAAGAAGAAGAAGAGGAAGAAGAGGAAGAAGAGGAAGAAGAGAAAGTTGGTGGTGAGTTTGATATCTGAAAAGGGTTTTGGGTTTGAGAGGAATTAGGGATTTGAATTCATCTTTCGTGATTTTCTGAGAAGAAGAGAGGAGAGTCGTCTTTTTGACGATTTGTTTCGACAGTTTTTTTTTTTTTTTTTTTCAAAACAAAAAGAAACTAAACCAAAATCAAAAGAAACTAAACTGCATAGTAACTGTACCGTTTGGTTTAATTTCTTAGGAGCATTTTCGTCATAAAATGGCTTAAATGTCAAAACATGAGATTGAAATCTCACTTTGCCAAACTGTGAGACTAAATCTTTTTTTAAACATAAACGTGAAAATTTCTTATCATAAAATATGACTGCAAATAGTCAAGCAAAGCTTCCCACGTGATTACATGAACAACTTGCTATACAAACTGTGACAGATCTATTTATTTTATATTCTACTTGCTAATGATATAATTTCTTATACACTTGTACCTTAATATAATCCATTAGAAAAGCTTAACATGTCATATACATCGTGAAGCGACGACTTCATCAATAAATACCAGTCTAGTTTCTAATTGTCAAGCTCTTCTCATCTACTTACTCGACATGGCTATCTCTAAAATAACCCTTGGAATCATCGTTTTACTTCTCGGGCTCATTGATAAGTTATCTGCCGTATCGAGTAGTTGTAATTTTCCGGCAGTTTTTAACTTTGGAGATTCAAATTCTGATACCGGAGCTATCTCTGCAGCCATCGGAGAAGTTCCTCCACCAAATGGAGTTGCCTTTTTTGGAAGATCCGCCGGACGACATTCCGATGGCCGCCTCATTATAGATTTCATAAGTAAGTACAATCTTAATTTTCAATTTTACTGTTACTAACTATGTCCATCATTAACTAGTTCCACATTGATTTTGTATATTAACTTTGGGAAAGGAAAATAATAGAAATTGTTGCCAATTTGTTTTTTTTTTTGACGTCTAGATTTATTATTTATTGTAAATTATGAGAACTGTTACATAGACGATTCTACAACGAACAATTCCTTCCGACCCTTATTAGATCCACGACAGACGACACTTCCTTCTTCATGCTCTTGACGGACACCTTCAATGATCCACGACCTGACGACACTTCTCTCTCTGCGTAGAATCCTGGCGAACGGTTATATGTGTACTTCGCTGGAGATCTCCTGCACACTTGCCTCATTTAATCTGCAAATTTATTAATAAATCGTAATATCTGGGACTCGAACCTCAGACCTCTTGGTGTAGAAGCATTAATTAACCATTGGTCTTCAAATTGTTGCCAATTTGTTAACATTTAGTTTAGTATAGTTCAAAAAAACATTTTCTTCTGGTCATTGAATCAATTTTTACGATATATTTGTTATGATTTTCGGCAGCTGAAAATCTCACTTTGCCGTATTTAACACCGTACTTGGATTCGGTTGGAGCTAATTACCGGCATGGTGCTAATTTTGCGACTGGCGGTTCTTGCATCCGCCCCACACTTTCTTGTTTTAGCCAATTCCATCTTGGGACTCAAGTGTCCCAATTCATTCACTTTAAGACTCGTACCTTGTCTCTCTACAACCAAACCAACGGTAAGTTCAACCGGTTGTTAAGTCATAGAAATTACCAAACCGGAATTCAAAAGTAAAACCTATCTTATACATGTTATTTTCTACATGAAAACTTTGTTGATATTCGTTTTTGGCCTTAGGAAAAACTCCATTTTGCAAAGGAGTCCTTGCACGGCCCAAAGATTTCTCAAAAGCTCTTTATACATTGGATATTGGCCAGAACGATCTCGCGATTGGGTTCCAAAACATGACAGAGGAACAACTCAAAGCAACTATACCCGCAATAATCGAAAACTTCACCATTGCCTTAAAAGTAAGCATCTAAGTTATTGTTATGTTTATCTGAGGGTTCGATAGAAATTAACCTCTAATCATTATTTACAAATTACAACATACGTTGTTTATATCATTAGTTGTTGTACAAAGAAGGAGCAAGATTCTTCTCAATTCATAACACCGGACCGACAGGCTGTCTACCGTATCTTTTGAAAGCTTTTCCCGCTACACCGCGAGATCCCTACGGTTGTTTGAAGCCTCTGAACAATGTGGCAATTGAGTTCAACAAACAACTCAAGAACAAAATCAATGAACTAAAGAAAGAGTTACCTTCTTCTTTCTTTACTTATGTTGATGTCTACTCGGCCAAATACAACTTGATCACCAAAGCAAAGACTCTCGGTATGAACTAAACCAATTAAACTGTCATAATTTTTCGATTTTCTTGGTTCCGGTTAGACTTAAGGCGTCTCATTGACTATCGGTTTTATCAAATCTAATACAGGTTTTGTTGATCCTTTTGACTATTGTTGCGTTGGGGCGATCGGACGTGGAATGGGATGTGGGAAGACAATATTTCCAAATGGGACAGAACTCTATAGTTCTTCCTGCGAAAACCGTAAAAATTTCATAAGTTGGGATGGCATACATTACACCGAAACCGCGAATATGCTAGTCGCAAACCGCATCCTCGATGGGTCGATATCCGATCCACCTCTCCCAACCCAAAAAGGTTGCAAACTGACGAAAAAATGAGTTGCCAAGCTATGAATTAATAAATGTAACTAGCATATTTCTGGTCCTTTCCAATAATTAACCAAAATTCTATTCACATCTCATCTTATTAAATAAAAGACCCAATCAAATATTCAGTAACTTGTTTGGTAACAAATTTAAAACCGGATAGTTCATATTATCGTTCGCTTAGTGACAACATTTCTTTTGTTGCTTTGCTAAGTGACAACTTCTTGATTCGGTGGGTCGTTCTTTATGTTCTCATGTTACATGTGGATAGGTATGTGTATATTCGGTGGCTGTTTTGTTTGGCATTCATGAACATAATCAAAACTTGTTGACACTTTGTCCATATCAAATTTAGATCTCATATCTCAAAAGAATTTTAAGTAACCAAACAAGTGGGAACGACCTGTGTCCCCCCACGAAGTTTCATATAGTACCATAACAACACAGATTTCGGGTCTCGTCTCCAGTCCACACAAAACGAAAGTTAAACTCCAGTTTCCCCCTAAATTGAAAGTTCGAGACTTCAGTCTCCATAAATTCAAATTTCGTGGTTTATCATTGGTTTACTATGCCAAACCCGATGCCAAACCAAAACCCAGAATAATAAACCGATTTGAAACCCAATTTCACGATCGGTTTACTCCAATTTCATTGGTGGTTGAATGAGAGATCGACGGTGGCGTTTTCCGGGATTTCATCGGCGAAACCTGACGGAATCTCGCCGGAGATTCTGTTGTTCGAAGCGTTGAAATAGCGTAAACGATTCCCTCTGAAACGTGACGGCAACGAGCCTTTGATGAGATTTGACGACAGATCAAGATACTCCGTCGACTTGAAACCTCCCGAAATCTGGCCGGAGAAATAATTGTTCTTCAGTTGTGAATTTAAATAATTATGTAGATACAGTAATCAGTTGTTCAATAAAATATTTATACTTTTTATCATCTCCAATGAGGACGCCACCCACGTTCTCTGTTCGTTAGCCATCACACTGTCAAATGGCAGCTTATGCCAATCTTCTTCCTTGCTTTCAGTTCATGAACTTCATCTCCAATGGAAGCCCATTTCTTTCTCCTCTTTCTCTCTCTCATTCTCCTGTTTTTGCCCAAACCCGGATCCGGATTTGGATCCTCTGGCCCAATCGCGGCGGCGTTCGGTGGCTCTGCTTTCTTCTGCGCCATTGATGCTAGTGGTCGTCAAGATGTTATCTGCTGGGGTAAAAACTATTCATCTCCATCTTCTCCGTCTTCTTCTTCTTCTTCCTCGTCTCTTGCTTCTTCTACTTCTGCAAGCTACAACATTCCGTCCATGGCGGTTCTTTCAGGTGGAGACGGGTTTCTCTGCGGCATTTTGTCGAACACTTCTCAGGCGTTTTGTTTTAGTTCACTTGGGTCTTCTTCAGGTATGGATCTTGTCCCTCTCGCTTACAGGACTACTGCTTACTCTCAGAGCAACCATAACCCTTCATGTATTTCTTGACGGCTCTTACTTTTGGCGAATCAAAGACATCACTTTCGTCTCTCAACTCCGCCTCTTACTCGTGAAATTGGAGTAAACCAGTGAAATTGGGTTTCAAATTGGTTTATTATTCTGGGTTTTGGTTTGGCATCGGGTTTGGCACAGTAAACCAATGATAAACCACGAAATTTGAATTTATGGAGACTGAGGTCTCGAACTTTCAATTTAGGGAGAAACTGGAGTTTAACTTTCGTTTTGTGTGGACTGGAGACGAGACCCGAAATCTGTGTTGTTATGGTACTATATGAAACTTCGTGGGGGGACACAGGTCGTTCACCCAACCAAACAACTAAAACTCCCAAAATTCGATGAAGACCATAGTACAAAAACACCAAGTCAATTGCGTTTACTCTTTACACTTTATTTTATAAAGAAAAATTAAAATTGCCAAGAGATACAAAACAAATGCAACAAGAATGTTTTTCAGTATTTTTTAAAATCAGAAAACATAAAGCCTCTTCATGTTTTTTCCCTTCTCTCTCGACCGTGTAAAGTACCGTAGTTGAATTCGTATATCGTATATATATACATTTTAACCGGACCATAATCCGGTTCATCAATAAACCGGTCTCTGTCCATTTGCAATTTCAGGGTTTTTGTCCAAAAGAGTAAGAAGTGCTCTGTTTCTTTTACTCCTTCCTCTTCCAGCTTCTTTCAACAACGCAGCTAGCCTCTGCTTCTCGTCCTCAACCTCGGGATTCGCCGTCCCGAGCTTCTCTTCTCTTGTCCCAACAACATACTCCAATATCTCTATAGCATCATCTAACCTGTAAAGCAAGTAAACACATTGCTTGTACCGCAGGAAATCCCAAAAAACATAACCTAGCAAGAAAATGTGTTTTAAAGTTTTTAATTTACCTTCCCATTGCGTCGTATGTTCCAGCGAGGTTACTGTAAACTGCTAATGTATCGGGATGGTACGGTCCATACTCTTTCTCGAGAATGGTTTTTGCTTCTTCAAACAAATCTGCAGCTTCATTGATCGCATAACGCTGAACGCAAGCTAGTCCCATCTGATTCAGAGCAATCCCGAAAAGAGCGGTTTTTTTCTCTCCGCTGTTGCGGAACTTTGATATCGCGCTCTTGAATATGTTGTAGGACTCGGGGTAATTACCCATCATGTAAGAAATCACACCCATTTGAGCTTCAATACCTGCAATCGTGTTCTGTTGACCTGGAGCGTTTGCATATATCTTCAATGCCCGCTTCAACAACTTAAGAGATTGATCAAGTTCGTTCAGCGACTGATATATCGCAGAAATCTCTATAAAACCCGTGGCAACCTCTTCCATAGGAGTTCCCGGAGTCGGTTTTAGGTAAATCTTAAGAGCGTTTTCGCAGTACGATTTGGAATCGCGTATTTTCCCAATTTTGTTGTACAAGTCAGCAAGCCTGACGTAAACCGAAGCAACAGAGGAATGAGTCTCACCTTTTGCTTGCTTAAACACAGCCAAAGCCTTCTGATATGCGAATATCGCTTCATCAAACCGAGCTAGCGACATGTAAGCATCACCAATACTGCAATCTACAGAGGCAACATCTTCTCTGTGGTTCTGAGATGACATAGCCATGCTCGCCAAAACATAATGCTCAAGCGCAACCTCGTAATCTCCCTTCGCATCGCAGATAAGCCCCATGAGTTTTCTATCCGCAGCTTCTTCAATCGAAGCCGTAGTGGCAGCCCCGTTTTCTTTGTGAATGTCCAACGCCATTTGACAAAGCCTCGAGGCTTCTTCGAACTGCATTGCTTGAACATGGGCTTCCGCTAAGTACCTACAAGTTTCCCCGACTCGTGCATCCGATTCTCCAAGAACTTGTCTTTGGATCTCCAAACCCGCTGTGTATAGCAAAATCGAATTTTCCACCTGACCCATTAAACCATACATGTCACCAAGCTGCATACACCCTGCAAATTTCGCCAACGCGTGATCTTCCCCATCTTCAATCATCGGTATCTCAATAGAACGCTCAAGAACAGGCACCGCGTCATTGTATCTCGCTAACCCCGCATATATCGCTGCCAAGATATGCAAAGACATCACCAAATTCAACCCAAATTGTTTCTCTCCTTCCCCACATTTCCCAAACACTTTCACCGCTCTCAACGCCAAATCAAGAGCCTTATTCAGATTCTCACCAGAAGAAACCAACTCTCTGGCTTGCTTCAACAACAACACCCCAAGCTCAGGACTCTCCTCATCCACAGAAACCTTCCCCAAATCCGGCGATTTCCTCGAAGAGGTCCTCGAACCAAGAATCTTCGTTTTCGCAACCTTCTTACCATTCGAAAGAGATTCAACAGGTTTCTTCTGGCTCAAGCTACCTCCTCCAATACTCTCTTCCTTCTTCTCCAAGATAATCTCTTTCTTCCTCTCTCCTTCTCCTCCCACATCTCCAACCAAATGCCTCAACTCCAAATCAATCCTAGATTCAGCTCCATACGAAATAAAACTCGCCCTCGACGGAGACTGATCATCAGAACTCTCCATTTCACAAACGTTATGATACAACTGCTCAATAGAAGCATTCATAGCTCCATCAATTGCAAGATCTATAGAGCTCAGAGGACTCCTCGGTGAAGCTAAAAGGGCAGAATCGTCTTTTCCCCTCTCATTGCTCTCTCCTACGTCCATGGCCGTTCCTCACAATTCAACTATAAATCTGAATCAATGGAGAACTATAATTATCTAAAAGATTCAAATCGGTTAAAACAAGAAGATAACATCAAAAGACTCGAAATTTTCTCTCTAACTACAATTATCTAAAGCTGACATAGATTCAGTTACTAACAGAGAACAAAGCCCAGAATCATATTCAACGAAATTCACAAGAAAAACGAAAACTTTGACGAAATTAAGAGATAAAAATCGAACCTTTATGTTTGTCTCTCTTTGACTCTGAAGAAATCTGCAAGAAGGCAAAAAACAGAACAGATTCTGTTTTTTGGTAACTTAGTGTGGTTTGTGTAAGAGAAAAAAATGAAGGATTTGGTGTCTTGTACTTTTCACTTTTAGGTGTTCGTTTGTATATCTTCACTTTCATAATCTCATAGCTAATATATATTCTCTATAATGAGAAAGATGAAGCAACAAACATTTATGAACAAACCCTTTCACTGTCCTTATATGTTTTTGAAACTTTTTTTTGGGTCTACATGGCATAGTTTAATTTAAAGTTTTATCTACCTTTTAAATTGAATTATTGATTGATTATATTAAGATAATGAAGATGATAATTGACTCTTTTTCATTGTGATTAATGATTATTATTTCAAGAAAGAGATACATAACCAAAAAAAAAGAAAAAGAATTGAAGATCATTAGGTTTTGAAGATGATTGACTCTTGAAGCAATAAAAAGAAGATGACTTCTCCCCTACTCGCACTCTCTCTTTAAATAATTTATCTTTTTTTTCCTCAATTTTATAACTAAAGTTATCTCTTTGAAAAAATAATAATGGAAAAAATGTCATAATCTTGGACTACGATGAAGACATTTATATCATAAAGTTTTTGTTGGAGCTACAATTAGTTAGCGTTGGTGGTTGACCCGAGTTTTCACAACGAGACTCGTTGTAGGAGAGAAGTCATAACCTTTCTCTCTCCTCGGTGTGATCACGTTTGACTCATTC